ATGCAGTAAGGCTCTGAGGCATTCTGTATTGCTTTCAAATATTATCTCCTGTAGATCAACTTTCTCATTTAATATCATCCCCGCTAAGTAAACACAAGTGGGCATGATTGATTAAAGTAACGTCTTTAAATATGCAGGTGACGCTTATTCACGTCAATAATACTATATAATGGACTTTAATAGCTTTTTAATAAATAGAGTATCAGCAAGTTATCTGCTCATGTTCAAATGTTCTGCACATATCTGTGATCTCAGACATTTCCAAAATAACATCAATCTAATGGAAATAAAGTCAATATTTTAACAAAATCTACCTGCACTATACTCTGCTGTGCATTTGCCTGCATTATTGCTCTGCCGATATACCCATTCAGACCGTCTGACAGACACGGAACTGTTTGGGACTGTACTGGATGAGACAATGAGGTGGAAAACCAAAACTGAAAACACTTCTGATCAGGAATCAATCCCACCACAAATTTTAACTTTAGCACCTCCAATAAAGTGCAGCTCATAGGGGCTTCAGTTGGAAGCATCCTGGTGCAGAGAGAGCGGTATGCTGAGTAGTGTGGAGTAACGTTCGATCTGCTGCTTGGACAGAGGACTCAATGACATCATATTATCTTCAAGGGCTTTAATGCATGATTGGACACTCTGGGGCTTTATTTTTCTGTTTTAAAAAAAACCAAACAGATGCCCAGGCCTAATGACGCCTCTTGTCAGCACAGCATGCTAACATGTTCACTCTGGCGATGCTAACATGCTGATTTTTATCAGGTAATGTTTTCAATGTTTGCATTTTCATTTTTGCTTATTAGCACTAAATATAATTAATCAGAGTGAATGGTCAACATAAGAGTCAGCCAATATGGTCCTCCATTTTACACAAAGTATAGCTGAGGCTGATGGGAATGTCATTAGTTTAGCAGGTACTTGGTTATTACTTATAAGTAACATATAGTAAAATTTTGACCTGATGATGGGGCTAAATGAATGTTTAGGGATCGTCAAAGTCACTACAATCCATTCTGAGGGCAGTGCTGGAACCCACTATTTAGCCTCTGGGGGTATTGGCCAATGCTTCAGGGCTTCCGGTGTAGCCAAGTCTTCCTCTTCCACGTGCTGGTCATTTTTTACAGTCCAAGTGGCAATTTTGGAATCCATCAGCTGTTGTCTTTTTAAAAACTAATAAAAGCTAACCTCTAGGGTTCCGAGATTGACAAAAAGCTCAATCATCGTCATACTATAGCTGATGGATTCAAAGATTGCATTTTGTCCAAAGGGACTACATACGGAAACCAGATAGCCTCTAATACCAAAATCATGTCTCTTGCCTACAGATTCTGATTTCTTATGCAGATATCTGTTTATAGAGATTATTCTGAGGCGGACATGAATATCTGTACAAAATAATTGTTTCACTCAAAGACACAAATGTAGCTGGTGATGGAGCAAGGGGAAAAGTCAGGGAATCATCAAAGTCACTGGGATACATTGATTGGGAACCATGATTGTCTGTACAAAATAGCAAGCCCAATCCATCCAATAGTTGTGGCATATTTCGGTTTGGACCAAAATGTTGGACCAATCAACTGACATTGCCATCCACTGAGCCACTGCACTAGCCTAATAAAAATAAGAATTCCACCTAACAAACTCAATGCCAAGTGATATTGAAGCACACAAACACCTCAGAATGTGACAGCAGATTGCTGAAATAAGTTAACAATACACATTGGGGAAATGCAAACATTCCTATGCAAGCCCAATATAATGTTAATGATGTACAAGTCTTTTCACAGGTGATGTCATTCTAATTGTCTGACAAAGATACATAAGCAGGACATTTTACAGTTGAAAAATCAACCTGTCGGTGCTCTTTGGTGGGCAAACTATGTAATGGTGTACCTTTAAACTGCATTTGAATCCTACCTTATCAAAGCAAGGAGCAGATACTTGGCGGCTTAATCTAGCCATACATACATAGTATCCACTTAAGATAACCTACATTGGCTGGTCCCTTTGGCGCAATAGGCAGTTCAGTAGTCCAGCTACCACTAGTGTTACAAAAGAAAAGACTAGTGCAATTAGACACACAAATTAACATTTATATATAAAACTGTAAGTTCCTACCCATGGTGTCTTGCTCTGTGGTGGCAGGGCTGCTGTCTATCATGGTGTCCTGGTAGAAGTCATACAGGGCCAGTGAGTGCTTCCCTGTAGGATCCCTGACTGTCGACACCTGTCTTCACTGGGTCCTCTTCTTGAGAGTGAAAACAGAGCTGGCTGATTCAATGGAGCGCATCATGCTGTATCGCCTCCTCTTATCCTGTTGAGATTATGAGTAGGTGACATATCCAAGTATTTCTTCATGGTTAGCCTTAGCCCTTTTTTATCTCCCTAGGAAAGCCTTTCAGAGATAACGGACAAGTCATTCTGAAATATTCACAACACAGAAAGTCATGCATGCGGTCATTGTCTCCTTTCAGAAGATGTCTTGCACTTACAGATTTGGGGTTGGCATGGTAGCGGGTGGTGTCACAAACCACACAGTAACCAATCAGACTGTCCCCTGGAAACAGGAAGGTGTTGCCCACAGGGGACAGCAGCACTTCTTTGGTCTCAGGAAAGAGCCATTCGATGGAAATATCACTGAGTACTGGAGACATGGTTTTCTTTAGGGACTTTATCATCTGTGGAGCAAAATAAACTAACTAAAATAGACTTTCAGATACAAAATACAGCTTCTCCCTGACCAGTACATAAAGCAAATGGAGTCTCAGAGATATGATTTTCTAATTGGTATCAGTGGTAGACACTTAGTGATGGAAACCACTGCATAATGGCTCTCCAGTGGCCCTCAGAATAGCCAGCTGTCGTTAGGAGTGATACACAAAGCTGGAAATGAGTACCTTGGGTTGCAGCCTCTCTCCTTCGGCCAGGAACTCTGCTGTTCCTTTGGAAACAGTTGCCAGTCCCTTCACCAGCCTCCTGCAGGCATTCTGTCCTATGCCATATGTAAAACATCTGCACAAACACATTAAACACTGCAGCTCAGCAGGGGTCTTCTCAGGATGTGCATACATTTCACAGAGCTATAAACTATAAGCAATCAAATTTGGCAAACATAGATTTGGGTTGGGGGGCAAACTGGAAATGATCTTTCATGGTGCAGAGAGTTGAGACATGCCTGCTGCTCCAGCAAGGTCGGCTTTATTTTGCCATTTTATTCGGTTTTTCACAGAGGGATGAGCTGGCTAATTTAATTAGCCAGCTGCAAACTGGCTAATTTAATTAGCCAGCTACATTCCTTTGCATTTTTAATGAGGTCGAAAAGTGCAGATAAAAATAGAAATATCCCCTACATAGTTAAAAACCTAACATGGATTTTTGGAACGAATCTTTGTTGTTTGGTCATTTGATTTGTAAGCATAGTGTGATAATGATCCAGAAAGTGTCGATGAATTGGCCAAGCTCTGTGAACCTAATCATCTGGGGGCAGTCATCCATTAAAAGGGGGAAGACAAAAGTCGATTATTTTCAGAGTGACTCAGGGGAGGGATTCACAGCATGAGACTTAGGTGCAGGCTGCAAAGTGAAGTGATTTTCCAGTAAACTGCAGATCTATTGTGCCACAGGCGCTCTTTCTCAGTTGATGTTGGTGTTTGCAGCCTTCAGGCAGAATATTTATATCCTTACACTAGTAGCTTTAAACAATGTCTTTTTTTATCTAAAATCAAGACAGCACAAATCTGATTCTTTGTATTAATCATGTTTGACACTGACAAGACATTCAATGCACATTCACGGATTTCATTTTGAGAGGATTATAGTTCCATAACCAGGTGTTACATTTAAGCCCATGAAAATGCCTGCATGTGATTTTATGTTATCCCCTGTGCAGTCCTTTTGGCATTTTCATAATGGGCATAAAGAAATAATGAATATATTATCATTCAACATACAGTAGCTTTTCTGTGCTTGAATATCAAGCAGCTACCTTAAACACATATTCAAGTCAGTGTGAGTGCTATATTTCTACGTCTGCAGGTACAGATCACATTTAGCACGAAATGGGTCATTTCTAACATTCAGAATAGAGCTCAGTTATCAGCCTGAGTGTGTGTTTACAGTAATACTTGCCTGATGTAGCGTGCATGGCTGCGGACCAGCTCGATAACCTTGCCTGTGTTGCTGACGGCCCCGTCGGTGAGCAGGAAGAGTAGGCGTGGGTGTCCGTTGAACATCGGCTGCCTCAAGATCCAGTTGAGCGGTGCTAGGATGTTGGTCCCCCCCATGTCGGCTCTGATCTTCCTAACATACTCACAAGCCAGGACCAGGGCTTCCTGAGTTGTGACGATGAGGAGGAGAAAAGACTAACTGCGGTTTCTTGAGTTAAAGTATCTTACCATTCTTTGGCTCAGTAAACACAAATGCTATTCTTACATCACAGAGATAAAAAATAATAAATATGGTAATTCATCATGAAAATATATATACAACCGCTTTACCTCGTCATAGTTCTGGCTGGTTGTGAAAAGTGATTTGAATGTAGAGCCGAAGCCTATGATGTTAAAAAGGCAGCCTGGCACAAGGCTCTTGAGAATCACCACCATGGCATCCTGAGAGAGAGAGAGAGACCGAGAGCGGATTAAGGTAATGTCCAGAAAATAGAACAGAACAAAGACTGTGGAAATAAAAGGCAAAACTCTTGGGCTCATTAGGTGCTTAATGTCCTGTTGAACTATGCAATCATTTCCACTGCAAAAAACTACATCTACTGATCTCTAGCTGAATTGAAGCACGGTGCTCTACACAGCTGCATCGTTTCACAGCAGATTTTCTCAAGGAGAGGAGTGAGTGGCATCATGCAGTGTCATTTTATCCATCACTGCCTCTGTTACAGCAGAGGAGCAGTTTCCGGAGGCATACCACTTATCTCAACTTTGATTCAGGTGAAGAGGACAATGAAGAGAACCTAGACCACATTGGTCAGACACTCAAAATGCCTGTTCAAGTGCATTAACAAAGAAAATGTAGGTATATGTCATGTTTCAGTTTTTAAAGATATTTTTAAAGGTATTCTGCAGTATTTCCTATAAGGTCAGTGGTAAATATCACTGCCCTGTCCTTAAGCCCAAACTCTGTTGAATCAGACACACCCAATAAAGGCCTGCGTCTGAGTCATACATTAACATCACATCGCAAGGCAGGGTTAGTGCACAAGTAGCAGGCAGCAAATAACATACAAGCATATTAAAAAAATATAAACCTTGAATGAGGTTCAGCTCTGTACGTGAACATCTAATGAATGATTTGTCTGATCAATATCTTTGTGCACATGTCCTTCACACAGTTGGTTAACCACACCTATAAAACTGCAGAATCAGTATGGCTACGAGCCTAGAAAGCAATTACATAGCCTCTAATGACATATCATGTGTTTTCATGCTTTAGCTTTCAGTTTGATCTCTACAGAATTCCATAAATTGATGGGGTGTTTTTCATGCTCAGGGAGGATTGTTTTTTTGTTTTTTTTACAAAACCCGCACAGCTGTTGCATGAATCAGTTTGCATAACCAAAGAATTTCTTCACAAACTGTCAGGAACTGTCTTAGGGAAGCTCATCTGCATGCTCATCGTCCTCATCGGGGTCTCGACCTGACTGCAGCTTTGCACAGCCATTGAAGAGGAGTGGACGTGTTGTGCAGATGTGTTGCACTGCGTGAGGCAAATGGTGGTCACACCAGACACTGACTGGTTTCCGGACCCCCCCAATACAGTGAAACTGCACAATTTTGAGTGGTCTTTTATTGTGGCCAGCCTAAGGCACACCTGTGCAATACCCATGCTGTCTGATCAGCATCTTGATATGCCACACCTGTGAGGTGGATGGTTTATCTCAGCAAAGTGCTCCCTAACTCAGATTTTGACACATTTGTGTACAATATTTGAGAGAAATAGGCCTTTTGTGTACGTAGAAAAAGTCTTAGATCCTTGAGTTCAGCACATGAGCAATGGGGCAAAAAAAAGTGTTGTGTTTATAATTTTGTTCAGTGTATATTAGGTCACATACAGGAGGAAAGAAATTTGCTCTGTTTGTGTTTCAAAGGTTTGTAGCTATGATTTCTCGTTTATATTATTAATTATCCACTTAATAGCTATGAGTCTTTTTGCACTCATAAATTCAATATCCCATTGCTTTAATAATCTTAGAGAAAACGGACACCATTTTATTTCTATTTCCATATCGTATGAAAGCAGGCCAAAACTTTTCATTGCTATACAGTTTCATTAGTTTGTTTTCTCAGTGTGTGATGTATCCTGTTAACAAACTTAAAATGTATAATTTTGTTACAGCCGAGTTTGATATTCTGTGTATTTTCTGCCAAATTGATGCCCAAGTATCAGGCTGTATGTTCTTTTCTAGGTCCTTCTCCCAGATCTTTTCCATCGAGGTGCTGTTAGTTGTTAGTGTTCTTTAAACTGTTTATAATCTTATACATTTTTTAGCCTATATGTCTTCTTTTCATATATTGATGTTTCAACAAATTCAGTGTATTCTGCAAATATAATTGAAGAAACCCCCGTCTTTAAACTGGTTATGATGTATTATATATTATAATTTATATGTAAATCAATGTGCGTCTCAATGAAGGTTTGCATCTGCACAATAAATATAACCCACGCACACCACACTGAGATTAGAATACCTTCACACGGTTGATGTTAACCCCACTCATGCTACCACTGCGGTCGATGAGGAAGATAAACTCGCCGTGAACCTTCCTCAGGTCTGAGCTGATAGACTTGAGGTCAGGGCAAAAGTTCAACATGACCACAGGGTTGTGGAGGATGTCCTTATGGAGTCGTCTGTGAATGATATCTACCTGTAGGGACAGGATCAAAATCAAACAGCATAAATTAAGGGGGATTTGGCACCATGATATAACTGGACTGGCTTTGATTTAACACTTAAAGAAGACAAAAGAAGTCATTAGGTCGACAGACAGAGCACATCAATTATTGTTGATGTGCAGGAAATTCTAGGCAGAATGTGGCGAGCCTTTGGAGTGTTTCCATAGAAACCCATTTTTATGATTCTCTGTTTTTAAGTGCTCTCTCTCCTGTTTAGGTCTGCTGGTCATTTAACCTCATGGTAGCAGAGATGTGAATGGACTCAATCTCTCATAACTTAATAACCAAAGCAATTCTATTAACTAGGCAGGTTGAAAAATAATAACGCTGAACTGGTTACAGTAACTCATAACCTACAAAGGCAGAATGCAGTAGGCCTACTGTAACTAGTCAAAATTAAATCTGTTTCACCATGTAAAAATGATTGTACCATAGAAGTGCATAATTTCCATGGAAACAGCATGTAAAATGTGCCTTAACTTGTTAGTGCTCAAGTGAAAACATAGCCATAGGCTATCTGGTGAAGAACTATACATTGATTAATTGAACATCATTTTGCTGAAACATCTTGTTAATTTGTTTTTCCTAATTCCTATTAACTAATTTTAGTTGCTGAGACTTATCATGTTGGAGAAACATGATTAGAGTAACTGTTGTCTGAGCTTTTTTTTACTGGCTTTAAAACCCATATCTGAATGTATTTATTGCATTGTTTAAAAATAAATATTGTAGTATATGTTATATACTCGGTGGCTGTGATTCAGGAGGTAGACGGTGTCCCAAATTGCTCCTGAAGGCTGTGCCATTTACATTTACATTTACTCATTTGACACTTTTATCCAATGCGACTTACATTTGAGGAACAACATAGCATAACAGAGCATAAAATACAGCACGAGATCTACAACTGACAATACATAATAAAAGCAGCAGTAAATACTAGTAAGCACTAATGGCACATATCACATCAATGGGGTAAATACCTAGGAAAATAAGTTAGAGTTAACAAAAAGTGCAATCAATTCAAGATAATTGTAGTGGATAGAAGATTAAGAGCACAGGAAGTGCATGTTAGATGTTAGGAGTTAGAGGTGTTATAAGAGGAAGTGTTCTCGGAAGAGATGAGTTTTCAAGAGCTTCTTGAAGTTAGAGAGGGACACGCCTGCTCTGATGGGGTAGTCTGGCAGGAAGGATAGGTAGAGTTGCGTATCGTCTGCGTAGCAGTGGTAAGAGAAGCCGTGCAAGCGAATGATCGACCCCAGTGAGGTGGTGTAAATTGAGAAGAAAAGGGGCCCTAGCACTGAGCCTTGGGTTACCCCTGTGGAGAGGCAGTGGGAGGAGGATAATTGTCCTTGCCAACATTTTGTTTGTGTATACTCCATTTTCTCTTTGCATTCTGTCAAGAGTATCCAAAGGCATAGTGCAGTATCTGCATTTTTAGGTATTATGTTGTATGGCATCATTTGTTATGGTAAAATAATAAAGGAATTACAATGGGCCTTCCAGCCTGAAATCTTTAAACTCTTTTTTTCTCAAATTTACAAGTGCTGCTCTCTGCCTTTGTAGGTTGAGAGTAGAAAATTCAAGTAACATTTACAACTCTCCACATTTCATGAAAATGTGGACTTACAGAGAGTGGACACAGGTGCCATAAACGCCTGCAAAAGTTGATGCAATCTCTCCATCAATAAAACTGCAAAAATACTACCTTTACATAAATCATAATGTGTCAATATGTCAGACAGGGAACTGATCAAACCCTGTAGTAATTTTGAAATCATACCACATGGTGTGTATGGTATGATATCATAGTATTGGATTGCATTATACTGTTAGATATAACAATTTACATAATCACTGCAGAATCACAAAAATAGTATTTGTTGCCAGGCATTATTGTAATATTGCACTACTGAGTAACTTTTAACACTCTCCTCAAACTGATATTGGTATGATAGTGTTTGGGAGTAATGCATTACTCAGTAATTATTACTGTCCCCAGAAACTAGTAGTAGTAACCAGAATGTCTAACCAGAATGTGATTTGTTTTATTTTGTCCTAGACTGCCATCTTATGATGACATGTATGTGCGATTGCGCGGCAGGTCAGGGGCAGTTCAAGTCGGCTACTAGCCAAAAAGCTAAACGAACTCACTCACTTTCCTCTCATTGCTGGAGTCCTTCTTGGTAGCCTTGATGAAATCGCTCCGGCCGTGAAGATACTCATCGTACTCCTCCTGCATCATGTCTCCATTCTCAATGAGCACATGTGGTACATGTGGCTCTAAAGTAAAACAGTTGGTCAGGACATAGACATGATTATAAATAATACAGGAAGATTATAAAGCAGATGGACGTGCCTGAAATTGACACCAGGTAGGGAGGCAGGAGTGTGGTAATCAGTAGCACAGAATTATCCCCATGTTGATGTGAGAATGAAGAGGTGATTGCTTATCACAGCTGGGCCACATGAAAACAAAATAAGCTCAGAGAGTTTTGCGAATCCTTGGGATTTGAAATGTTAATTGTCTTCAGTGCAGAGTATCGGCAGGTCTTGAAAATCATTGATTTCAGTTTTCTCATAAAAAGGCCTTAGATTAAAAGGCTTACATTTTATTTACAAAGGTAACATATTTTTTTCTAGCCTGCTCTAGGCAGTGTGTGTGATTCTAGAAAATCCCCAGCACTGTTGTTCCAGACCTCTGACCTTTTGTGAAATTCATATGTTGACCCTAAATTAATTAGTTACTTTGCAGCTTAAAGAGGTCCAGGTCATGATTAATGATTATTAATTATATTAGTGGGAAATATTGCTATATTCTACTGGGAAACACTGGTTGAAATGTAATATAAATGTCCATAAATTCATGTACTTGGTGAATAATTCTAGGCCTTATCATCTCTATTGGTTTTCAGTGTCTGTAATGCAGCTCAGTCCGCTCCATCTCTCTGCTCAAACTGAGCATCCATGTTGTGATTGAAAGTGCAGCACCAGTCTGAGCTGAATTAAATTGCCCAACACTCGTAGCAGGTCTGTTTGTGAACAACACCTTCATAAGATGCCTATTGGATCAGTGAGGCCATGGCTCATTCATGCCTCTGGGAGACAAATGGCCCACACATAGTGTAGGTCAAGGCGGGAATGAGAGAGAGACGAGAGCACAGGATTAAAAAAACAGACCTGACGCTGCACACCCACACAATGCTGAATGCTGTCTGACTCCGCTGGCATGGCATACATTAACAACAGGACATTTTGGTGAGTCACCTCGCAATTGATCTGATTTGATACTTAACACAAAACCTGCTGTAAAAGAAGCCTGACAGAGCAGAAGTAAACAAGGTCCAACTAGTGTACTTGAGAGGGGAGGAAAGACTAATTGCTATGCTGTGAGTGAGTTTTGAAGCTGTGGAACCTACCGCTCGGGTAGATGAGGATTTCGACAGGACAGTCATAAGTGTACTTGTCTGCCAGAGTGATGACGACGCTGGTGGCAGAGCGGGCCAGAGGGTCTGCATCAGCTCGGATAGCATGAGACGGGCTCTCTACACCTACACAGAGCAACAACCACAGGAGATCAAATAACCAGTGGGTCCACCTCCAGTAATACCAGTAATAACAAACCAGTAGGCCCCACGGAAATTACTCCCATTTTAGTCAGGACAGCTTTTATCAAGGAAACTGATATTTGCATGTGGAAAGCCATAAGACAGCGAGAGCACATCTCCCTGCCCTTCCATGTGCTTAAATGGAAATCCCGAGGCAGAGAGAGCAGCAGCATAGAACTCCCCAGGGTACAGAACAGATCGGGCATCAATGACAACACAAATGACATTGATAAGTCAGACACAGCCTGAAAGGAGGAGCTGGGCTGGCGGCGTGTTGCAAAGTGGCTTGCAGAGGAAGCCGCAAGGATAGGCAGTCTTAAGCAGCTTAAATAAGGTGCCTTGTATTGAATTTGCCAATAAATGCTAAGAGGGAAAGGCTGGCTTTGAGATCGGCTGCTATCCACTGATATGCTGGGATTGTGAGCTGAGCTTGACTTTGTTACCTTAACTTACGCTATGCTCAATTTGTACATGGGAAAAAAATTAGAAAAGATTTAAGAATTACACGTATTAAATGTCTTGCTGTCTTGCTGAGAATTTGATGGGAAGATCAATACCACTCTCATATCTGTAGGATAAATTTGAAGCTTCAGCCAGCAGCTGCTTAGCTTAGCATAAAAACTGGAAACGGGGGACACAGCTAGCCTTGCCAAAGGTGATAAAACCCACCCACCAGCTCTAAAGCTTACTAACCAACACATGGACTTATGTGCTGGACTATTGACTGCTCCCGGCCAAGACATAACCCAGCACACAACCACATCAGTCATATCTACACTCTGTTTTTTGTAAAACAAAGTGATAATCATTGAACTTCAGTTGTGCTGATACCTTTGGACAGAGCATACTAGCTCTGGCAAGTCTCCTGGCTGTAGCTTCATAGCAAATAATCCCAAAATGTTAAATCAACCATTCACAACTTTATATGGCCCACTAATGTTCCCAATACCCAACTATAAAAGAACATTTAGCAAGGTGTGAAAGCAAAACACACAAAAGAACAGTGCTTTATTCCCTTTTCTGCAGCTCACTGCAGGATGCGTCACATTAATAACATCTTATTGCAGACTTGAGAGCTTTCAAGAAGCACTGAAATGCAATTCTTGATTACTGCTGACAAGTGGATTTGCCCTAAGAGAATATATCCAACAAATATGTCACCAGTATTGGTTCATTCTCTAACCTGCGAGGAGATAGGGAGCCCGAATCTCCAGCTGGAAGTTAAACTCATAGTCCATGGAGTTGATGGCCTCCTCCTCCAGTAGTGAAGCCAACCACAGCTGAGGGGAGTTGGGAGTTTGATCATGAGGACTTGAGGCACAAGTGAGCCTGTCCCGCCTAAAAGTAGCAAAGCACAACTATATTAAAACTGAGCCATCTTGAAAAACATGTAAAATGTTAGTATGGTCAGCTTCCATCTATAAAAACACACATTTGTGGCCTAGAAATACAGCCAAACCCAATTTTAAAATACACCAAATTTGAACACAACATGTAACATGCTGTAATTTCAACAAGTTTTTATAATGTTTTATATTGTTTTCATGAATTTATCTGTTCTTACGTTCTGGAGAAGTTTGGAGATAGTCCCTGCTCCTCGTTGATGGTCCTCTGTACCCGGGGTGTACACACAGGTGGAGATGAGACCCTTATACCGCCGCTGGGCAGGGTGGAGAGCTCAGAAGAAGTACTAACTAGAATATGGACCGTCTCCATAGGAGGGATGATCCCAAGGTTAACAACTAACACTGTCCTTTCCAAATCCTCATCCAACACTATGTGTCCTGTAAAACCAGACTAGATTAGTAAACAACCACATTTTTTTATGTACCACAATTTATATGAATCAGAAGGCAACCAAGCGAATGTAAAGCTGTCTGGAAACTGCTGTTATCTTTAAAGTCATAAATATCTCTTCTCAATCAGAGTTCATTTAAACACTTAGATTAGTACAGTACTCAGTACAGAAGGATTGTCCTCAGAGTTAGTTCTACAGACGGTACTTCTACTCCTACCAAAGAGGTGGTATTATGCTCATTTTCAGGTTCAAAATCTTATTTAGGGGCTGTGACGTCACAGGGATGAAAGGGATGGACTACAAATGAGCCGTTTTCAAGCAGTTCAGAGAGTTTTCCATAAAAATCTGATGAAAATATGGTCAAATGCATACCCAACAAAAGACTTAAAGGGGTACTCCAGCAATTTAGTATTGCAGTTCCATAAAGTTGGGGCACTCATGAGAGACAGACTGCTGATCAAGGGCAGAGATTTCCTTTTAGTCTTTAGTACTATTAAATCTTCACACCCCATAATGCAACTCTATATTGTCCTATAGTGCATGGTCCCTTCTACTGGAATTTGGAAATACTGGAAATTGGAATTTCCATGTTCCCAGTCGGAAATTTCAAGTGGAACGCCCCCTTAAGTTGAATTTCTGACTCAGAAAGTTGGGAGAACTTCACCAATCCCGAACTCAAAATCCAAAATGGCTGCTCTAAGCATCAACAAAGTTAAAGCCATAGTAATATCCAACTTCTGTCTTTATTTGTGACTCATCAAATCAGTCGTACACACAATACTGTCCAAATTACATCTGTGGGCATGTTGCTACTGTGTATGTGCAAGAAAACGGGTAATGCATTGTTATCAACTGGTACTGCTAACAATGGCGAGAAGCACTCATCTTGGTTTTACGAAAATCTGTTGTGTACTGGAATGCGATCAACTTGGGAGTGACGTCATTTCCAGCTCTGACTTCCATAGTAATTGGAACGCACCATTAGACCTCTCTGTGTTTGGTAAATGTCTTTCCCATGCTTGCAGTAATGAGTAATGAGGGCTTTCTGTTATAATTTTGATTCTAGATAACCCTGGTAACCTAATCAGGGGTAATTTCTCAGACTTCAGAAAGCACCTTCCAGAGCCACAGAAGATGTTAAAGAACTGATTTCACAGGCTGAGAGTGTATAACTTCATGTAATGTGTAAACTGATCTTTATTCAGTGGAGTGCACCTTTAAACCTGCACTAAATTATTTTTTTGGCCACTTATTTACAAATCAAGCAGACATGAAATAAATTTAAAGTCATGTCTCAGGCGAAATGACAAATGTTATTAAATATAATAGTCACTCTCCATTTGTCTCCGCCAACTCCTAGGGGAAATATCTGGTTCTACAGCTGCTAAATGGTCCACTGTGTTCATCGGCTAGTTGACAACTTTGTCTGTCTGTCATCTGGTGCTGAGCAGGTAGTGTACAGTGGGCTTATATGAGATTCTTCACTAAAAACAGCCTGCTGCTGCTGCTGCTGCTGCTGCTGGGAAAAAGAGTTGATGAGAGTGGTGAGAGTGAACCATAGACTGTATGAAGTGAACCAACAGAAAATCAAAATTGACAAGACAATTGAAGGGGAACTGCAGAGTCAGATAATTCTCTATGGGTTCATCACTACAACTAGGAGCAACCCCTTTCATAATTACACATAGTAATTTGACCCAGTGCTAATATGACAATATTGATTACAACAGCTTTCATCTTACCACTGCCACTCTGGAGGCCTCCATTAGATGTGTTGCAGCAATCCAAATAACAGTCATCAATTTTTGCCTTGTCTTTGATTTGCAGTGTTATAATCTGACTGGATATCATAGACTCGAACCCCACAACAATGGAATTTTCCTCCAGCGGATAAATGAACATCCCTAAAAGGCAGTAGGAGAGAAAAAAGTGAAATTTACAAAAGTGTGTTTCAGAGCATAACAGTACATTAATTGAAAGTGGCTATCATTCATACAACGGGAGTATACAAATTAGTCTCCTGTAGTGTTCACACTCACCCTCAATTGCATGGTCCTCGATATTTTCGTAGGTCATAGAGGCTGTCAGGGCCAAAGTATAACCCCTGACACAGGAAGTGATGTCAGAGACACTAAGGGGCAGAGCGCTCCGGTTCTCCTTGTTAATGAGTCCAGGCATGGTGCTTATTTTAGGATTCTGGTTTGTTGCCACATGTAAACACAAAAAAGGTTTTAAACCAACTCATAAGATAATGATATTTTATGCCAGAAGCAAAAGCTGTAGCAAAGCAAAGTGTTTGTTAAATATTGTATAAATATTAAATATATAAAGAGGATTAAAATAAGAAAATGTGAAAAAATTGTGTGAAATATTCAACTGAAACTAATGACATAATTGAGGAAATTATTAAAACTCAACTCATTATTATGAAATGCTGTTTTTCTATTTATTGTAATAATAATAAAGTTCTATTAAATATATTTATTATATATATATTTTTTTAAAAACCCTTCTTCACTCTGCTAACAAATTAAACAACTGCTAGCAAATGTAGCCAGTTAGCTCCTGTTAGCTGGAGCAATGACAATGTCAAAGTTATTTAGTCAAAGTCTGGAAGTTACACAGAAACTAACATATACATTTATTTAGCTCAACAAAGTTGCTCATGCTACCTACCTAGCTAGACTGGTAACTTAGCATGGAAGTGAGGAGCCTGTGTTAGAAGTGTTAGCTAGTTTTGTGTGTTTTTCTCTAACATCTATTAGAATCAAAACACAGCTGAGGTAACTGTGAATTAACTAGCTAATGTTAGCTGCTGCTCCTGTTAACACTGGTTTGTCGCTTTGATGTTGTAATCCAAGCTCACAACCCAGCCAAGCTAGTTAGCCAGCTAGGTAGGTAGCATGTGCAGCCTAGTTAAGCTCAAGCTCATTCAGTCAGTTTTTTACAGCACCAGCTATATAGTTGATTGGTGCTAACTGGCTAAATGTTGATCTTGCTTGCCTAAGGAAGGAGGGATCAACACCACTGTCATGAAAAGAGACATTATGAAGTGGTATGGAATAAAAGTGTTATTAGGGAAAATGTCACTATGTGATAAAAACAGACTTTTGAAATGAGGCATCTTGAAATAAAACTTTCTGATATTTTTTATATATTTCACATGATTTATTCATGTTCCTTCTATAATTGTCACTTTTGTTACCCAGCAATAACATCAGAAACACAGCGGGTTCTCATACACTCAAACAGCTATTATCTAGATCTCAGTTCAGTGAGATATGTATCTAACCTAAAGATAGATATTCCAACCTCAAACGATATGATGTAAAACCAAGGAGCTTTAGGATGGATCACACAGGTAATTTTGAGATAAAGGTCACAGCAGTAAAACACATTTAGGGTGGTATCATCATTACAACACACCAAAAAAAAAAAGAGTATTCAACGCCATGTCAGGTGAAAAACAAAAATTCACATACATAAAGATAAATTCTCAGGGAGGAATGCAACATTGCTAATTATGTAAGATATAAAATTATCTGTTGCTTCGGGGACTTGCTTCATTGTTAATCTCCTCCGCCAGTAATCTTGGTTATGTGCTGTGAAGGGTCTGTGTCTGCTGTACGACCAGAGCCCCAGCTTGATAGGAAGTGTTATGACGAAAGCAATTTCCATAGAGACAGCTCTGCTTGCTTGCTTGTGTGACTGCAGACTGACCACTACCATCTCTAAAGTCTGCCTTTATTTTTGATACTGTGACTGATTGCATTTAAAATACCTGGCAATCTCACACAAACCACACAATCATATTTACCTAGGTTACTGTAGAAGGTTCACCTGCATGATCTCCAAAGACACAACCTTCACACTCCCTGACTACATAAAAAGACCTTCAGAATCAATAAGAAATTCGATCAGTCTTTCTTATACTCAAACCAGTGTTTTAGGCACCACATGGTTATTGATGGCAAAGAAACAGACTGTTTAGTTGTCTGTCTCGACAGTGCCATCATGTGTCCAGTCAACCAAAAATAGGGGCAATCCCTTCATCCCTCTTTAAAAACATTCTCCACATACAGGTGTATAAAATAATGACTTAATGAAAGAAGAATTGAAGCACAGCGGGACTGCAAACTCTCGGTTGTGATGAGACACAGACACTGAACATCAAGACATTTTATCAAATTAATCTGAAATTAAATTAATCTTTATAATCTAAATAAGTTTACACTATGCTTTAAAAAATAAATTTCTACTTTCTGCATGGCAGGTGTCAGTTTTTTTCAAGGCATCCTTTTCTATACTGTCTTTCAGCTTATAGTAATTAGTGTTACAAGTGGCAGTCCCAGGATACTTCTCTCTTGGTTGGCTCAGTCAAATGAATCACCCTGCCTCCCTCCTGGGTTTGCTAAAAGACCACCAAACCATCAACTCAACATTTCCTATGAACACTGCCACACTCCTCTGCACTCATTAGTGTCAAAACAGAGTGCAGATCCTGTGGTAACCACCTGTTGGAACACAGTGTCTGGATATCTGTTTACAGTGTCACCAGTAGTTTTAATCATCTGACTGGTCGACCTTTCTTTATTTTAAACAAATGACAGGGACCTTTAATATATGCATCATCAGAGAGACACACGGCGACGTGAAAATGCATCTGATATAATGATACATTATCAGCCTCATTATCTTACCTTTCATTTGTGTCAGCTGGGTATGCAGCAAGAATCTCTGTTAGAAGTCCACTTATCAGGAAAGATATTCTCCTCCTCTGCGACCTCTCTCAGCTCCCCTTTTTTGTTCTCTCTTTGTGGCGTAGAGGGAATGGGAGTGCTGCCACAGGTGGCAGAAGCTACAGATGCAGTGGCCACATTGTTAGTTGGATGTACACCGCAAAGAAAAGGAAAGGTAGGAGCTGTTGCAGCAGCAGTTCAATCAAGCACAGCAACATGTGGTTGCAAAAGCGGTTGCATTTATTCTCCTCCCCCTCCTCCTCCTCGCTGTGGATGCTGGAGTTGGAGGGCTTGAGGGAGAGAGAGGGGGGCTGAGACAGTGGGTCCAGTCCTTCCAATAAACATCCCCCTTCCCTTTAGATGCGCATTCAAAGCATCAGCACCACCCACTCACTCCAGTCCTCCCTGACATCAATGACAACAAGAACCATCCAGGTATCTTTTTAATAGCTGGGATCAGAGTGAACACCATGAGAGTGAAAAAAAAAAGGCTGGAACAGATGGGTGGGTGAGGGAGCACTACATGCCCCCCTCATATCACCTATAATCTCTCTTTCTTCCTCTCCGGTGTAATTGGAAAGCTCTTAATGTTTTAAATCCTATGTGGGTGTTTGGCTGTCTCTATGTTTTTGTGATCACTCGGTTTGATCCATCTGTTTTCCTGCAAGGTTACCATGACAATTAATGTGTGTTTATGAAGTCATTTTGGTAGTCGTGAAAATGTAGACAGTGTCTGTGTGTGTGTGTGTGTGTGTGTGTGTGTATGCGTGCGTGCGTGTCTTTGTGTGAGTGTGGGTTGGCAGAAACTCAACATCCGCCTCCAAATTGAATCAACCTGCAGCCAATAAAACTCTGTACCCCCCACCCCTCCCTCTTACTGTCTATCTGTTTCTCAACCATTCAAACCCGGTCACACTCACACAAACACACACACTGACACACTTACTTTCTGTCTGTCTCACAACAACTGAACAGTGGAAGGGTTAAAGACAAATTCCACTTAAATGATTATTATTATTATTTCAGCAGCCGATTGATTGATCTGTTCATTTATTTTGTTTTGGTCTATCAGAAAATAATGACAATTTCCCTAAATTCCTAAAGCTTAAGGCAACGTCAACAAATTACTTGTTTTGTCCACCTAATAGTCCCCATAGAATCGGGGACATCAGTCACATTAGACAAAGAAAACATGCAAATCCTATTAGAGATGCTGGATCTTGAGAACATGCAGTATTTTTTACTTAAATGATAACCACACCAATAGGTCGGCTAATCATTTCTGCTCTGCTTTGACTAGTGAGTCATCATAATAATAATAATAATAATCCTTATTTGTAGAGCACTTTTCAAAAACAAGTTACAAAGTGCTTTAACAAGTGTAAAGAATAATACAAAAAAGATAAGAGCATGAAAATTTAATATAAAATTAGTAAAATACAATAAAATAAAAGGGATAAAATAAAGTCAAATAAGATCGGGAAAGGCTCTCCTATAAAAGTATGTTTTAAGAAGGGACTTAAAAGAGTTCACTGACTCAGCCGACCTGATTTCCTCGGGCAGGCTGTTCCAGAGCCTCGGGGCCCTGACATAAAACGCTCTGTCCCCTTTAGTTTTCAGTCGAGATCATCAGATGCATGGTAATCAAACATGTCGTTAACAGGTGAACAGGGCTGAAACAATTAGACAATAGAGACATTTATTTATTTTAATTCTTTTTCACACAAAAATTCTCCTCTAATGTGAAAATTTGTTGCATTTCTTTTTCTTACCTGATTTTAAATTGAATGATTTTAAGGCTCTGGACTGTTGGTCCACTAAACAATTAATTTGAAGATGTCACCTTGGGTTCTCTGAAGTTGTGACATTTTTCATTATTTTTTTTTGACATTTTATAGATCAAACAATGAATGAATTAATCAAAAATAATAATAACTGCAGCACTAGTTCAACATCTAACGTCTAAACCTCAACATCTAACTTTAAGTGGAATCTGCCTTTAACCCTCCTACTAAATAGAAAATAGTAATCAGTTAACAAAAGAAATAGTAACAGGCAGAATAATCAATGATGAAAATAATAATTACTTGCAGCCCTACTATTTAAAGACCTATGATATAGTCCTAGCTATAATGTTTTTAGATTTATAAACTTAACATGAATTGACTGACTGTAATGAAGAAACTAAATCAACCAACACTCAAGATGAAGCCCATAGAGTAATATTTATGAAATGGAAAGCAAGTTTATAATAGAAATAGCCTACATTTCACATAACGTGCAATATACATCTTATAAAATGTCATGTGCAATATTATTGCAATTGTTTTTTATGGATTTCTATAAAAATTATATTGGTATATTTCCTATCATTCAAAAAACCTTATTATGTAGTCCTTCTGTTGTGCATTGTGTGGTGGGTCTGTGTGATGGGTGTGTCAGCAGGTTCACTC